CGATACTCGCTAAAAACTCGCTCGAAACTCGCAGCTAATCACCAGGCAAATAGATACCGGCAATCCCCCTCACCGGCCCGCCAACGGGGCAGCACCTCACAGCTGAGCGGCTACGCCAGGCACGGAAAGCGCTCCAACATTCTGCCACCTTATCGCACCCAGCAGGCGGCATTGCTCCACAAATCCGGAGCTGGCTCGGCCTCCATGCAGAACATGATGCCACTGGCGTATCTGCCGCCGCGACGCAGCTCCGCCGCTGGTCTGGGGCACAGCGCTGGCATGGGCAGTGGCTATCGGTCGCACAGCGTCGATGGGCTGTTGGACCAGGCCTCCGCCAGCCAGAGCAGTCTGGCCACGCCGGAGCAGAGGATAGCGGCAGCGGCGGCCATGGTGACGGCCGGCAGCACAGCGCTGACGAATGCCAGCTCCACGTGCACCCTACAGCCGGAGGACGAGGAGCCAGCGGACACGGATACGTGCGACCATGTGACGAGGCGAGAGAAGCGCCTGGCGCCGCCGCCGAATGTGCAACAGCATCGCAAGTCGCGGAGCTTGGATCACATACTGTCGAAGCAGACGCTGGCTGAGCTACTGCCTCCGAGCATCGAGCCCACGGACGAGACGCAGAGCATGCAGAATCTGGCCATGCCACTGACGCCGCAGCCCCAGCGACGTGATCAGAGCTCCTCCTCGAAATCCCCAACGCCAGAGCGACCTATGCAACCGCATTACAGTCGCCAGAGTCCCGAGGGCGTCAGCTCGACGGAGAGCGAGCGGGAGGATGGGCAGTCGCCTAAGTCGCAGGTGCAGCAGCCGCATGGAAACCAGCAGCGGGCGGCGGCGCATGTGCATCGCGGCGGGAGCCTGAACAGCAACAAGACGTCCAACTCGTCGCTGGGCTCTAACAACAGTGCCAGCAACAACAAGACCATCTTCAATCGCACGATGAAGAAGGTTCGCTCGCTGATCAAAAAGTAAGCCAAACCGTAAGCCAAGCAAAGCCAAAACGTTGAGCAAAGCGAAGCTGTCTTGACGCGTCACTCGCTACTTCCACTCATCTAGTTTAGTATTTCGCTCACTAAGTGCCTGTTACTCGCTACTCGTTGCATTTGTGCCATCTAATACCGAATCTCATGCCTTCTTCATACTCATACTCACGTCTAATCCTACCCCTGGTCCCCACACAACTCTCTATCTCTCCACTCGCTGTACTTCTCTGTCTCTCTCTCTCCCTCTGGTGTTGGTACTCTCGCTAGCAAATTATCGCTCGCCACTCGTTGTTTATACTCGTTAAGCTAAGCCATCCACTAAAACTCGCCTGCGTTGCCAAAAGCAAAACCGAACGTCCCTCCTCCCACCATCTTTCTCTCTCTCTCTCTCTCGCTCTAGAAAGTCTATTTGCCTTGTGATTAGTTGTTGATTTTTGGTAAATTAACTAATTATCTTTTGTGACAAATGAGAAAGCGAATTTAAACTGCAATTGATAAACTAATTTATGAGAAAACAAACCACAAAACAACATTAACGACTGCATAACCACGAAACCTAATTTATAAACCAACAAACAAAAAAAGAAGAAACAAAAATACAATAGAAACACACCCTATATGTAATATTCTATTTATAGTTAATATATTTTTTAAAATATTTTTTTTATTTGTTCTTGTAACCGTCCGCAAAAAAGTTAAAAAAAAAGAAAAAAAAAATTTAAAACCAATTAAGTGGCTTGAAACGAACCTATTTAAGTGATATTTAAACGATAAACGAAACTGAAATTTATTTAAATGCAAAATTTACATAACAGAAACAAATGCTGTACAATACTTAATTTTTAGCATATTTTAATTGATTTTTTTTGCAATATACATATATATTTAATATTTAAATAGTGCCTATAAATTGGCCTACTAAGTGCCTCGAAACGATTTAATTTAAAACAAAACCAGAAAGAAAACGCAAGAGAAAAGAACAACCACTACAAATCAAAAAGAATAAAAAATGTGAATTAATAAAATGAAATGTGTATTATTTCCACCTGCCACCTGCCCCCTGTCCACCTGCTTTATCAGTCCATCTGACATCTTTCCATCTCTCATACGCATGTTCTCATTCCTCTTTTTGTTTCGTTTCGTTTTTTGTTTCGTTTTGTGTCTTGTTTTTGTGCTGCTAACGGAATTTCGATTAGCTTTTATTTGATTCTTTCTCCATTTGTATATTTTCTCTCTATTTCTTTCTTTTCTTCCACTCTCTTTCTCGCTATCTGGATTCTGTTTTGCAGACCATGAGAGCAAAATTGGCTACTGCTGCAATTCGTTGTAACTGTTGTTATCCCTGTGACTGTACTCCCGCCCGCCCACGCACACCACACACAAACACCCAAAAATCAAACCACCCACAACTGCGAATCGACTTCGATCAGCACACTCATCGAAAACCCCCATCTAATGAGGTGATGTGATCGACGGCCTCCCACCACCACCCCAGCATCAGCTGTCTCGACAACAAGCCACATTCATATTGTTATTTATTATGAAACAAATAAAACAGATCAAGAAACACCAATAACATTAGCTATAAATGTGTATATAAACCATGATAAGTCCATGTTAACTGTAAGCCTAATGCGACTCTCCTTACCCCCTTCAATGCACAAAACAGCAACGAACTGGAGGACGAAGAGCTGTCGGGCATAATTCTGGCCAAGGCCACTTCCCCAAATGCTGGACGCATGATATTCTGGTAGCACTCCACATACACTCCACTCCCAGAGCACTCCAGAGCAATTACTCAACGAATTTTACCACGACGAAACTGTATATAAAACGAATCAAAGAATAATAAAAAATATTCTAACGAAACAACATTTGAAACTTCCAGCAGGCTTGGCAACTCTACTGAGCTGTGTTTCAGTGCTGTAAGCCGTACACCTAAACCGTAAAAGTAGGCCTTTTTTTTGTCCATTATTTTGCTACGTTGGTTTTATTTTCTTTTCGTCATTTCGTCTCACAAACTTATCTAGACACATCGTTTTTTGAACAGAACAAAAAAATTCCGTAAACCGAACTGAAATAAGTTTCAAAATTACAATGGCAAAGAATATAGCAGATATAATAGCCCACGAGCCAGCTGATGCCCTTATTTTCAAGGGGCCGTTCGACAAGACGTTCAAGCGCACTCTGGTTATTCGCAGTCTGACCGAAAAGGATGTCGCGTTCAAGATGAAGACAACCTCGCCAGAATTGTTCTGTGTTCGCCCGAACGTTGGGATACTTTCTGCCAAATCGTCGGTCAACATAAAAATTTACATGCAGCCGACGACGTTGTCTCTGACCCCGAACCTGTTTGAGAAGCGTCACAAATTCCTTATTTTGGCTAGCGAAGTTACAGATCACGTGGATGATGTGCACCAGTTCTTCAGGGGTCTGGACTCGACTAAAGTGTGGGAAGGCAGGGTCCGTTGCGAGTTGACTAACAATTTGGACGCGTCCATCCGCCACACTGCTGGTGGAGAGACAACTGAAGTGTCCGATCGTGTGTACGACGCCCTGGCTGCCATCAAGCTGGAGCTGCAGGACAAAGATATGTTACAGAAGAAAGTTGATAGTCTTGAGAAGGTGCGTCAGGACTTGACACAGGAAATCAAGGAATTACGTGATCCTGCTCAGAAAGGGAAAAAAGTCAGGAAACTGCTTCGCCAGCGTTCTCCTAACAGGTTCATGTTTTTGGCCGGACTTCTCATCGTCGGTGCCATCATATTCTTTGGTAATTACGGCAATGCAATACTAAAACTTTTTGAGCAAGCTTTCTGAAGAACTGTTCTGTAAAAGAAATTAAAAATGAATTTTTTTAAAATGAATTTATTTTCGTTTTTTTGTATATTTTTGCCATAGAAAACTCGTGGAATTCACAAAATCGCCTCATGCAAGAACAACATTTAAATTGTGCTTTAAGTGGCGGCCTAACAGCCGAATTTTTCCAAATTTTCTATCGATAAGTCGTGACTCTGTCGTAATTAATGCTGCCAGACATATACATACATATGTACATACATACATATATACAAAAAATTGTGTCGGTTAAATTTTGAAATTTTTTTAAAATATACAGACCGACTGATTTTTCAATGAAAAATGTTCATTAATGAATGATAGGCACCTTTTGTATTTAAAATTTAAAAAAAATTGTCACATATATGAAAATGATCAATAGAAAATCCAAGCTGTATCATACATATGTAGATATATGAACACCAGAAAGAGCAGCAGCGTTCGAGTTTCTATCGTTGCTGCTCTTTCTGGTGTTGTTTCTATTGATTAGAAATTACAGCTGTGCTGCTCTTTCTTGTGTTGTTGATTTATGCTATGTTTTATTGCTATTACATAGTACATAACAAGCATTTATAGAGCTGCCTGCGTCTGTTATTCTCTCATGTGCGTTGTCTCCCCTATTGAGCTGTCCGTTATTCTTTTCGTTTATACACGGTCCTCGAGGTATTTAGGACACGGCGGTAGCGGAAAGCCAGAGCCGAAGACCCTGGAAACCCTGTTGAAAATAAACTGAAAACCGATGATCCCAGCTTCCAATAAAGATTACGAATTGCTTTTTTTCCTCTGAGTGCATATTTCATGATCTATTTCTCCGGATAAGCGGATCGAGCTCTTTACCTTCACTTTTTCGTGCCTTGCGCCGCTCTGGTGATTTTCCCCCCTCTGCCCACAAACTGTGTGCCGCGATTACCTTCTCATACCCCGTCAGGTAAAGCTATTAAGCTATTGTTATTATCATTTACTTTATTTAACTCCTCCTTTCTTTTTAGCAGAACGTGCTCTTGCGTGCCCGTGGACACCGATATGCCCACCATCTTTTACCAGGGGCTTCACCCTTCTGGTCTTCCGGTTCATATGAGCGAGTATACGGCTGTCCACTCCAGCCGCCTGACCGGTTGAAATCGCAAACTCCTCGCAGGCTCTTTCGCGCAGGAGACCACGACGCCGTGAGCCCCTCAGGACCTGCTTCCTGTCGCGAGCTGCGACCTGTGGCCTGCGGCCTGTGCGACCTTTGGGTCCGGACAGTACCATGGCCCTCTTCCTTGCGTCCCACGCTGTTTTCTCCTCCGCCGTAGCTCCTCGTATTTTTGGGAGGCCCAAAGGATGTGCACCTAGCTGGACTGTGGCAGCCATTGGCTGTCCTGCTGTGTCGCTGAGTCGACAATGTGGCGGCCAGTCCACTGCAGCAGGGACCAGTGATCGACGGCGAAATCAAACGCTCGGCTTTAGCATCGAGACGCGTAAGTGAAAAAGTATATAATTATGGATTTATTTTAAAATATATCTTCCTTCACAGAGGACTTATGTACCCAAAGCTTTGCCACACGCCTGATACGACTATCCGATTGCGCCCCACCAGACGGAGACCTATCCAAGCATTACCGAGGCGTATTCGAGACAGACTGAGTCCTATTCCAGACAGAGAAAATCTTATCCCAGCAAGACAGAAGCACACACCTTGAAAGATCCGAAGCAAGCCATCGTCATCCTTCGACCTGGCCATCGACAACAAGGACTTTGACTATGGTAACCAAGGGAGGAGCTACGCGGGCTACTAGACTCTAGATAGATCTCATTGTTGTTAAGATTAAGGATATGAAATTCCATTCATTTAGATAGTAGATACAAATTGTTTCCGCTTGTTCATTTATTTATACTAAGATAAGTTTTAGTGAATAAAACTATTGAAAAAAATCATCCTTGCGAAGAATCGGGAAATATAACTGGGTGGGGTTGTTTGAGTCCTTCCAAAAGGGTCTATATCCATGAGATATACCCCTCAAAAGTTTTGGATTTGCATACCATTAAAATACTAGTTTTTTCTGCACGCCATATCTCTGCCAAACAGCGGCCGATCGGGGCGTGACATGTCTTTTCGTCACCGGGAGATTCCTGCCAATGATGAGTCCTCTCATCGGAGAAGAAAAAAATCTCGGTTGGCAGGACTCTCCCGGTCACGAAAAGACATGCCGAACCCCGATCGCCCGCATTTTAGCCGAGATATAGCGTGCAGAAGAGACCAGTATTTCAAAGATACGCAAATTCAAATCTTCGCAAGGCTATATTTCAGGCAAATAGGGCCAGATCGGGGGAGGACCTACTCTCCCAGGATCGTGAGGATCCAGCCTGTCGATCGGCATCAAAATCTCGACCTCGGCCACTGTTTAACCGAGATATAGCGTTCAGAAGAGACCAGTATTTCAAAGATACGCAAATTCAAATCTTCGCAAGGCTATATTTCAGGCAAATAGGTCCAGATCGGGGGAGGACCTACTCTCCAAGGATCGTGAGGATCCAGACCGTCGATCGGCATCAAAATCTCGACCTCGAAGATGAGGCCGATTTTTGGCAATTTTAATGATGTAACCGTCATGATTTTTGGCGAAAATCATGATGAATTGGATGTCCTTTTTTCCGATCGCAGTCGATTGGCAGGAATCGCGCCATTCCGAAAAGACATGCCATGCCCCGATCGGCCGCTGTGTAGCCGAGATATAGCCTGCAGAAGAGACCAGTATTTCAAAGATACGCAAATTCAAATCTTCGCAAGGCTATATTTCAGGCAAATAGGGCCAGATCGGGGGAGGACCTACTCTCCAAGGATCGTGAGGATCCAGACTGTCGATCGGCATCAAAGTCTCGACCTCGAAAATGAGGCCGATTTTTGGCAATTTTAATGATGTAACCATCATGATTTTTGGCGAAAATCATGATGAAATGGATGTCCTTTTTTCCGATCGCAGTCGATTGGCAGGGATCGCGCCATCCCGAAAAGACATGCCGAACCCCGATCGGCCACTGTTTAACCGAGATATAGCGTTCAGAAGAGACCAGTATTTCAAAGATACGCAAATTCAAATCTTCGCAAGGCTATATTTCAAGCAAATAGGGCCAGATCGGGGGAGGACCTACTCTCTCAGGATCGTGAGGATCCAGACTGTCGATCGGCATCAAAATCTCGACCTCGAAGATGAGGCCGATTTTTGGCAATTTTAATGATGTAACCGTCATGATTTTTGGCGAAAATCATGATGAATTGGATGTCCTTTTTTCCGATCGCAGTCGATTGGCAGGAATCGCGCCATTCCGAAAAGACATGCCATGCCCCGATCGGAAGCTGTGTAGCCGAGATATAGCCTGCAGAAGAGACCAGTATTTCAAAGATACGCAAATTCAAATCTTCGAAGGGCTATATTTCAGGCAAATAGGGCCAGATCGGGGGAGGACCTACTCTCCAAGGATCGTGAGGATCCAGCCTGTCGATCGGCATCAAAATCTCGACCTCGGCCACTGTTTAGCCGAGATATAGCGTTCAGAAGAGACCAGTATTTCAAAGATACGCAAATTCAAATCTTCGCAAGGCTATATTTCAGGCAAATAGGGCCAGATCGGGGGAGGACCTACTCTCCAAGGATCGTGAGGATCCAGACTGTCGATCGGCATCAAAATCTCGACCTCGGCCACTGTTTAGCCGAGATATAGCGTGCAGAAGAGACCAGTATTTCAAAGATACGCAAATTCAAATCTTCGCAAGGCTATATTTCAGGCAAATAGGGCCAGATCGGGGGAGGACCTACTCTCCAAGGATCGTGAGGATCCAGACTGTCGATCGGCATCAAAATCTCGACCTCGAAAATGAGGCCGATTTTTGGCAATTTTAATGATGTAACCATCATGATTTTTGGCGAAAATCATGATGAAATGAATGTCCTTTTTTCCGATCGCAGTCGATTGGCAGGAATCGCGCCATTCCGAAAAGACATGCCATGCCCCGATCGGCCGCTGTGTAGCCGAGATATAGCCTGCAGAAGAGACCAGTATTTCAAAGATACGCAAATTCAAATCTTCGCAAGGCTATATTTCAGGCAAATAGGGCCAGATCGGGGGAGGACCTACTCTCCAAGGATCGTGAGGATCCAGACTGTCGATCGGCATCAAAGTCTCGACCTCGAAAATGAGGCCGATTTTTGGCAATTTTAATGATGTAACCATCATGATTTTTGGCGAAAATCATGATGAAATGGATGTCCTTTTTTCCGATCGCAGTCGATTGGCAGGGATCGCGCCATCCCGAAAAGACATGCCGAACCCCGATCGGCCACTGTTTAACCGAGATATAGCGTTCAGAAGAGACCAGTATTTCAAAGATACGCAAATTCAAATCTTCGCAAGGCTATATTTCACGCAAATAGGGCCAGATCGGGGGAGGACCTACTCTCTCAGGATCGTGAGGATCCAGACTGTCGATCGGCATCAAAATCTCGACCTCGAAGATGAGGCCGATTTTTGGCAATTTTAATGATGTAACCGTCATGATTTTTGGCGAAAATCATGATGAATTGGATGTCCTTTTTTCCGATCGCAGTCGATTGGCAGGAATCGCGCCATTCCGAAAAGACATGCCATGCCCCGATCGGAAGCTGTGTAGCCGAGATATAGCCTGCAGAAGAGACCAGTATTTCAAAGATACGCAAATTCAAATCTTCGAAGGGCTATATTTCAGGCAAATAGGGCCAGATCGGGGGAGGACCTACTCTCCAAGGATCGTGAGGATCCAGCCTGTCGATCGGCATCAAAATCTCGACCTCGGCCACTGTTTAGCCGAGATATAGCGTTCAGAAGAGACCAGTATTTCAAAGATACGCAAATTCAAATCTTCGCAAGGCTATATTTCAGGCAAATAGGGCCAGATCGGGGGAGGACCTACTCTCCAAGGATCGTGAGGATCCAGACTGTCGATCGGCATCAAAATCTCGACCTCGGCCACTGTTTAGCCGAGATATAGCGTGCAGAAGAGACCAGTATTTCAAAGATACGCAAATTCAAATCTTCGCAAGGCTATATTTCAGGCAAATAGGGCCAGATCGGGGGAGGACCTACTCTCCAAGGATCGTGAGGATCCAGACTGTCGATCGGCATCAAAATCTCGACCTCGAAAATGAGGCCGATTTTTGGCAATTTTAATGATGTAACCATCATGATTTTTGGCGAAAATCATGATGAAATGAATGTCCTTTTTTCCGATCGCAGTCGATTGGCAGGAATCGCGCCATTCCGAAAAGACATGCCATGCCCCGATCGGCCGCTGTGTAGCCGAGATATAGCCTGCAGAAGAGACCAGTATTTCAAAGATACGCAAATTCAAATCTTCGCAAGGCTATATTTCAGGCAAATAGGGCCAGATCGGGGGAGGACCTACTCTCCAAGGATCGTGAGGATCCAGACTGTCGATCGGCATCAAAATCTCGACCTCGAAAATGAGGCCGATTTTTGGCAATTTTAATGATGTAACCATCATGATTTTTGGCGAAAATCATGATGAAATGAATGTCCTTTTTTCCGATCGCAGTCGATTGGCAGGGATCGCGCCAGTCCGAAAAGACATGCCATGCCCCGATCGGCCACTGTTTAGCCGAGATATAGCGTGCAGAAGAGACCAGTATTTCAAAGATACGCAAATTCAAATCTTCGCAAGGCTATATTTCAGGCAAATAGGGCCAGATCGGGGGAGGACCTACTCTCCCAGGATCGTGAGGATCCAGACTGTCGATCGGCATCAAAATCTCGACCTCGAAAATGAGGCCGAATTTTGGCAATTTTAATGATGTAACCATCATGATTTTTGGCGAAAATCATGATGAAATGAATGTCCTTTTTTCCGATCGCAGTCGATTGGCAGGGATCGCGCCATTCCGAAAAGACATGCCATGCCCCGATCGGCCGCTGTGTAGCCGAGATATAGCCTGCAGAAGAGACCAGTATTTCAAAGATACGCAAATTCAAATCTTCGCAGGGCTATATTTCAGGCAAATAGGGCCAGATCGGGGGAGGACCTACTCTCCAAGGATCGTGAGGATCCAGCCTGTCGATCGGCATCAAAATCTCGACCTCGGCCACTGTTTAGCCGAGATATAGCGTTCAGAAGAGACCAGTATTTCAAAGATACGCAAATTCAAATCTTCGCAAGGCTATATTTCAGGCAAATAGGGCCAGATCGGGGGAGGACCTACTCTCCCAGGATCGTGAGGATCCAGCCTGTCGATCGGCATCAAAATCTCGACCTCGAAAATGAGGCCGTTTTTGGCAATTTTAATGATGTAACCATCATGATTTTTGGCGAAAATCGTGATGAAATGGATGACCTTTTTTCCGATCGCAGTCGATTGGCAGGAATCGCGCCATTCCGAAAAGACATGCCATGCCCCGATCGGCCGCTGTGTAGCCGAGATATAGCCTGCAGAAGAGACCAGTATTTCAAAGATACGCAAATTCAAATCTTCGCAAGGCTATATTTCAGGCAAATAGGGCCAGATCGGGGGAGGACCTACTCTCCAAGGATCGTGAGGATCCAGACTGTCGATCGGCATCAAAATCTCGACCTCGGCCACTGTTTAGCCGAGATATAGCGTGCAGAAGAGACCAGTATTTCAAAGATACGCAAATTCAAATCTTCGCAAGGCTATATTTCAGGCAAATAGGGCCAGATCGGGGGAGGACCTACTCTCCAAGGATCGTGAGGATCCAGACTGTCGATCGGCATCAAAATCTCGACCTCGAAAATGAGGCCGATTTTTGGCAATTTTAATGATGTAACCATCATGATTTTTGGCGAAAATCATGATGAA